ATCACATCAGGTGCTGAGCCCGTAGAGCTTGGGCTCAGCTGAGCGGACGGCACGCTTGTTTTTCTTTATTTTTGTCAAAGGGATACTTTCGCTGAGCTGTGGAGTAGTTAGGAACAGCGAAATGCGAAGAGGGAAAGATAAGGAGGATTCCTGGCACGTGTTGGTTATTTGGTTTGGTTTTGTGGTTGGTTCTTTTTTTTTTTTACAGTTATTTTAATATTCTTACTACTATTCATGCTGGGTTGGATGGAGCTTTGAGCAACGTGTGGCAGGGGGTTGGAAAGACATGATCTACAAGATCTCTTCCAGCCCAAAGCATTCTATGATTTTGAACAAAATGTTATCTGTTCCAGGTTTGGCCTTGCAAATACAGTGTTACCAGTGTGAGGAGTTCCAGCTAAATAATGACTGCTCTTCTCCAGAGTTCATCGTGAATTGTACAGTGAATGTTCAAGATATGTGTCAGAAAGAAGTAATGGAAAAAAGTTTTGGTAAGAATTTAATAATTATTATTCTGTTTATTTGCTTTGGATAGCATTTGTTGCTTTTGGTTCCACCCATTCACAGTCTTCAGTTATGGATGAATCTGGTGTTCCCACCTAAAGGGACCAGATTCAATTTCTAATACTTCTGAGTGACTTTGTAACTCAAAGTTAATAATTTTCCTTCAAAACTGGTGTAAAAACTGAAGGATGCAAGCCAAATGTTGATAAAGCTAGTTAATACACAGTCTTATGGGTCTCAGATTTAGTTTTCAGCACTGGAAAATTAATAACAACAAGTTAGTTTAATCTCATTACAGTTAATTACATGGGCTTTTTCCCCAAGAGATGGAAGAGCATTAAATTAGTAATTCCCTCCTTTCTTTTATTTACTCAAGCAATTTATATACTCTGAAGGTTCATCTTAAGGGAAGGAAAGTACAGTCATCTTTTCTTTCATCCATTAAAGAAACCATCAAACAAGAGGGAAAGAGGGATTTAAAAAATACCCAGTAACTTGGGGAAGTTTATGGAGGGAAGAGGAGGGGGTCAGAGGAAGGACTCAAATGGATTCTTTGCTATACCAGTTTTCTAAGTTGTTTGTTTGTTTGTTTTTTCTCTTACTGTAATTAATATTAAAGTTCTCATATTTGGAGATAAATGTGTTCAGGAGGAAACTAGCCATGATTCTGCATCTTGCCTCTGTTGTCTTTTGAGCTGTGGTACAAGTGACTGGGTTTTATTAAGTATCATGGAAGGCATTTGAGATTTAGAGGGAACTGTCAGTGTTGCTCTAGCTTTCTACATGAGTAGAAGGCAAGAACTTTATTAGGGAATGGCAAGGAAGTGTGTTTGTGGGAGTTGGAGCTCATGCAGCCCTCCTACTCCGACTGCAGGCAGCCATGAGGACACCGGGCATTAGAATGGGCATCCAACAGTAACTCACTGGGGAGTCTCAGCCTGGACATGGCCTCTGCAGCAAGCAGTAGTTTAGGGAGCAGGGAACAGGCTGGGACTTCAGAATCTTGATTTAAGGGGAAGCTGCTCTCTGGGATTGCACGTCTTGCAGGTGAGGGCAGTGCTTTAGAGCGTGGAGTTCTCTGATGTAAAGAACTCCTATGCTGTTAATGTAGATCAAGCTATAGCCTGTCCTTTCTCAGCAAGTCCTTTGGGAACAGCAGGATGCCTCTCTACCTACAAATGTGTGCAGCCATCCATCTTGAACAGTAACAATGGTTCTTGGCATCAGCAAACTACTCAGCAGTATCTTCCAAGTGCTTATCAGTCAGCTAGTTCCATGTGCGCTGGCCATTTCAGATCAGCACGTAATGAATCCTAGATAAATAATAACAATTGTTGTTACCCATCAAAAGTAGCTGACAGCGTTTCATCCTGGATAACACCATCTACACTGACTATTGCTGTGAAATACTTAGAACCTCTCCAGCATAGAGAAAAAGCTGTATGTTTAAAGAAAGATTAGTCTCTTTCAAGCTGTATTTTTCTGGGGTATTATATTTCAAGTTTACTTGGAAAGGATAGTGGGGATATGAGATAGTTACGGCTTGCAAGGTCCTTTTAAAGTCTGAGTATCTCTAAATGATTGTTTGAAGGCTTTGCTATCTCCACCCCACAGCTTCTGTAGTACTTCAGTAGGTTGGAATGGATGTTGTGGTGATTTGGAGGGCTGTAGACATAGACAAAAAAGTCAGTTCTCATTTAATTCTTAACAGGTGTTTGGTGTTTGCTGTTTGGAATTTTTTAATACCTTGCCTGATTCCTTCATGTTTTTATTTCAATACAACCTCAGCCTGTATCAACTTCCAGAAACATATCTGTAATCTTCCCTTCAGGTGAGTGTTAGGGTGTTTTCAGCTGAGTAAACCCCTTGCAGATTGAAGTGCAAGTCTTCTGGATAAATCAGCTTGCACACGTGCACTCACAGCCACTTGTGTGCTGCATGAGGAGGGTGGGATAGGTGGTTGTGCATCTCTCCTCAGCCTGGCAGGCAAGGCCAGCGTGACTGTGGTACACTGAAAATATAAACTGGAACAGTTTTAATACATTTTAGACACACATTGATGCATAATTTGCCATTACTCCTATGAAGAAATGGTTTGCAATATAGGAATATGGAGTTCTTAAAACAAACTTCTTGGTGGTTTTTTTTTTCTGTTTCTGCAATTCTGTATTTTCTCTGAGCAGATCCTTGGATTTTTCCTTTAGGAGGTAACTAGCATGCTGTGCATAGCAGGTGCCACTGTTCTATTTAATTTACTTCTATAAATGCAGTTCTTATTAATTTTAAGCTTAGAGATTGAAAATTTCAGCTAGTTAATGAATTGAAATTTTTAACCTATTTCAAACAGTGAAATTTACATTGCAAGCTTAGTTTCTCTGTTATCCTCAGTCAGTTTTAGAGAGGATTGGTTGTAAAACAGATATGACTTAGTTCATCATCCTTTATTGGTTTTTTCCTAATTGATATTTAAATGTGTGCAATATAAATGCCTTACTTTCACAAGTTTCATTTAATAATTCATTCTACTCCTAACAGTACATTTCATAACTCGATTCTTTTGGTTGTTACCTATTACTAGAAACTGAAATGTTTCAAATATTGATTTTAATTTAGAATAGACTTGAGTTCGAGGTTTTTAACCCAGAATATGAAAGATGTGAATTTGCATTTATTTGACAGCACAATCTCATAATTAGAGTTTTTACTCTTGACTAGATACAGTCAAAGCAGTGTAATGTTTGTATTTTAACCCATTTCTGTCCTTAATAAAATATAGTTGTGTCAGTGAGCGAAGTGTTATAAGTTCTCTCAAACCTTATTTAAAAGTTAAATGCAGTATTTTGAGATGAAGTTCATGGTGTGAGTTGATGTAGCCACCCTTCCTGTGCAGTATGCATTAATCTGTGTTTTCTATCAAGGGGGTTGCTGGTTTACATTCTGTGGTGTGTCATACAGTCTCCCAGTGTGTGGCCAGTGACTCTTTTCCTATGTATTTATTAGTGTTCATGGAATTGTGCCGTGGCAGCTCTGTGATTCAGCTTCGTTTCTGTATTAAACTCCCCATAGTAAAAGCAACATGGTGCTGAACTACAACTCTGTGCAGCTTTTCCTATTTATGTTGCAAAAAGTTTCTTATGCCTGATCATAGTTAAAGCATTCCCCTTCAGTTTCTCTAAAATTAGGGTTAGTGCTTTAGATGTCACTGTGTTCTCTCAGAACACTATCTCAATTTCCGGAGAACCAGCTCCAGGTGAGAAATAGCAGCATAGGCATGTTCTTAATCCAGAGCTTAAAAAGTGGCTGTTAGTGTGGCAGCCTCTGATGTAAGCAGCTAAGAATGCAGGTGTTAGTAACTCATATTTTGGATTAGATCATCTGGCATGTTATCTCAGCTGTTTGTAGTGTCTGGTAGGAATTTACTTCATTGCACACCTTAAAGTGAATTGAGAATTGAGTGATACACAAGCATGTATCAGATTAAGTGATTATGTGGAATAGTATAATTCTGCCTCCCCTGTAGACGTGCACTTTGCTGTGGCAGTTTGTATTTCAGTTGCACTTTGGGGATCTGTGAGTGCAGAGAACCAGAGACTTCGTCAAGTAAATGATAAAATTTTCTCACTTTAAGCTGAGTTGTATTTAAAAATTTTGCTAGAGGAAGTTTTATGTTTATGTCAACATACTGTTCCAGTGGGAGATACAGGACAAGATGGTATTTTGCCTGTGATACAGAATCTTACAAACTAGTATTTTAATTAAATCTTAAAAAAATCTTTTCTTCAGGGGGAGGAATGATCAGAATGGAAAGTGGCACTCAAGATGATACCATGTAATTTTCTTATGTCTCAGAAATTAATTGTAAAGGATAAGTTTCTAGCGCATTCTTCAAGTTAATAAGCAGATGTTTGAAAACTGTGTAGCTTAAATGTTTGACAAAGGATCAAAGTTCTTACAATAATTCCATTTGCAGATACTTTGTGGAAATACCCATGGCAGATTTCCTGCTCCCACTTGCCTCTCTCCTTCCTATGGATTTTTAACTTAGAACTATCGGTGTTCCTTCACTTTTAGAATATATGTAGGAACGAATAAATCCCACAGTATATTGGGATCAGATGAAACATCTTGGTGATGTGTAGATGAGTATATAATGTGTATATGCTCATAGAAAACACACTGATAATGGTAATTATCATTACCATTTGCCTTTTACGGAGGGCAAGAGCTATCAGAGTTTAAAGGCTGATCTAAAACCTACTTAAGGCAAAATGCAATTGCAATGTGAATACATCAGAGAAATAAAGCAGGAAGGATGAGACGATCAGCCCAGAGAGGTAGCCAGTCTAAATTTCTTGGAATTCTCTGTAAGTAAACCTGCCCATGTGCATGTTTGGAACAATTGTATTCCAGTGTTTTGGAACCTTGTGTTCTAATGTAGTTATGAATGTACTTTTACTAACTTTTGCTTTTGTAAGGTTAAAAAAAAAAAAAAGAACTACGGTAGCAAGACTAATACTTCAAAATGTCAGGAATTTTTCTTTGCAAGCAAATTTGGAAACAACCTTGTTATTTCTATTAATCTGCAACAACAAACTTTTCTTATTTGTTTGGTGTACAATGGTCCTTTTAATATATTTACATAGGATGTAATCCTGCAGTGTAATTAAAGCAACTGCTGTAATTGTGTGCTTAAAAGTAGTGCATGGGAACAGCATGAGCAAGATCATGATCTCAGGATTGAATTATAATTTTATTTTATCTATTTCTTTGAATTCTTTTCAGTATTTGCTTTCCAGTTGTTTGTTTTATCAGTGTCTACGTTGAGTGATGAGTTGGCCTATGGTAATTTCCCTACCTGTGATTAATACTCAGTTTTGTTGCACTGTGTTGATGCCATGATTGAGTTGCTTTGTATGTGGCTGTTAAGGATTACATAAGCACTTCCTTTTTTCTGTATAGCTCATACTTTTTTCTGTTCATGTATAGC